ACAGATTTTGTTTAGAAGCATGTATATTTTTCTGCTGTCCAGAGAACCACACATGATTTGGACAGAGATGCCTTTGGCCTAATGAGAAACACCATTTAGTTCATATTTAAATGGCAACTAGAATAAATCTAAAACCTTGAGCTTGTGGGCTAACAGTAAGTACTCATTGCTCTATCAGCTTAATAAAACTCTACCATAGAGGGGGGAAGGAAATCAGAAACATTTTCCATATCTTAACCTGTATTTACATCTTAAATCATTTATTTTTAGACCTTCAAAGCTTATAAACTTTTATATCCTCAGATCTTAAAACATTTTTAAAAGAGACCTAGTAGCTTTAGGATGAGCTAACAAGCTGGCTATAGCTTTGTGGAAGGATCTGGATAACTTTAGCTGCTAAACTGACATTATGACTGTCCTAGCCATCAATACTATCAGATATCCCAGAATGATAAATCAATTATATCTGAGTACTGACCAAGTCGTTTCCAAATCTATTAAAAATGATAGGGATCAGAGTCCATATACAGTTAGTCATACGTAGGTCTCCATAGCACTGGAGGCAGAAGTATCCAGAACAGCAGTCTTACAGTCTTAGCCAGGCCCATAAGGTGAAATATTTTTCCTGTGGAAGAGGGACATGGAAAAGACTGACCTTATTTTGTCTGGGCAAAAGCGGTGCAATCAGTTCTCCAATGTTCCGCTGTCTGTTCACAGTCTGGACCGGGTCCTGGCAGCAGGGGTTGTACTGGGGCACCTCGCCCAGTGTCAGCGTCATTGTAATCCAGGTGGAGACATCATGGTGTTCGTAATCTTCTTTGGAGCCCTTAGGCCACTGCTAGGATCTCCGAGTCTCTGTCTAATATAATAAGCCTTTTAATCATTATTTTAAATGCCGTATCCTGCAGATCTCTGAAGTATGAGGGCTGCCTAGGTATGTCTGATTAGACAAACTTTGTTTCTCATTACTTGTATTTATTTATTTATTATGTATACAATATTCTGTCTGTGTGTATGCCTGCAGGCCAGAAGAGGGCACCAGACCTCATTACAGATGGTTGTGAGCCACCATGTGGTTGCCAGGAATTGAACTCAGGACCATTGGAAGAGCAGGCAATGCTCTTAACCACTGAGCCATCTCTCCAGCCCTCTCATTACTTGTTTTAAGTTTGACTTTGAAAACATATACAGGGACCTAAATAAGGCTTATTCCCGTAATTAATTATATCAGTATTTCAGGGATGACTGACTAACTTGTACTTCCCAACAGTCTACAATAAGTTAGCAGCTTTCACAAGACTAGAACTCCACGCTCTGTAATGACTTTGAATTGAAGTTAATAAAGAAGCTGAATTAGTCATTCTGAGGGTAAAAACAGAACAAGTTTGTGTCTAGCTGCAAAGGCAAGGAACAGGTCCCAGGATAAAATGGGAACAGGAGGGAGTCTAAGGCTTAGCATTGCCCTAGGGTGAACTGAGACTCAGGCCTGTCTTCCTGCTGATCTATAGAACTCATCTTGGCAGCTGTGTACCGCATTGCTCTGGGAAAGCTGCCCTGGGCCCTACATTTCCACCCCCCCCTTCACAAGTACCAATGACAGGGTCCTGTCTGTCCAGGACTCAAGGAAGCGGTACTGAAACCTCAGTACCATCAGTCAAACAGTATTGACTCAAACAAAAGCCATCGCCGAGGTGAGAGCTGAAAGTAAGGTGGTTAACCAAGGAGACCAGTTGAACAAGCTTTCACACCATCTGGCTCCTACAACAGCTTGTGTCTGCCACCATAAAACTGCTACCGCCTGCGAGCCCTGTAGCCTCAGGCTGGGAAAGTGAGGCACCTTAGAGGTCTCACCCAGCCCTGCAGGCAAAGCAAACTCTGCTTTACTCAGGAGTATTGTAGAGAATCCTTGGTGTTGCCATCTGGCAGAGGCAGTAGTGTTAAAAGCTGGTTAAAGTTTTATAGTTAGCTCTGAAGTTTGCTGAGTGCCTGGTACTTGTTGATTCTGTTTTCTGAGACCCATGGCTTGGCCTTTCTGACTCTCAATATCCAGATTAGCATAGTTGCCCACAGTTTCAGCTCAAAATAGATTATGTTTCTCAAAAGCTGTGTATTTTCTTCCACAATTTATAGTTATGGAGCTTTTATCCTTTCTATTTGATTGCCTCACTGTTAGCGCTGTTATCTCTAATAAAAGGTAAAAGGGGAATTATGTGGCCCTGGCGGGTCCTTGCCCCACTCTTTCCTGTAAGTGTCCTGATATAACCTGCAAAGTTCTCCATCAGACCCAGCAATGAAAGCTAGCTTGGCTGTATCTGAATTCTGTATGTGAGCCTCATCAGTTCAGGATGGTATTAAAATCCAGACGTGGAACTTTTCTTAATTGTTCGAATGATGTGGATACCTCTCTAGGTTAGGTCAAATGCCACAGGGAGACTTTTGAATTCCTTAATGAAGGTGGGAGAGATCCTGGATAAATGAGGCTTATTTGGGTCACAGGTCTTAGTTACAGTCCTATTGCTGTGAAGAGACACCATGATCATGACAACTTTTTTTTTTTTTTTTGGTTTTTCGAGACAGGGTTCTCTGTAGTTTTAGAGCCTGTCCTGGAACTAGCTCTTGTAGACCAGCCTGTGCAATGGTATTTTGCCTGTATGCATATCTGTTTGAGGGTGTCGGATCCCCTGGAGTTGGAGTTACAGAAAGTTGTAAGCTGCCATGTGGGTGCTGGGAATCAAACCCAGGTCCTCTGGAAGAATAGCCGGTGCTCTTAACCACCAAGTCATCTTTCCAGCCCCGACCATGGCTACTCTTATTTAAACAAACAAACAAACAAACAAAAAAAAAACAAAAAAACCCCACATTTAACTAGGTGTAAACAGAAACTGCTTTCATTTTCCTTCCAGCCACACCCTCCCAAAAAAAATCACACAGAAACTATATTAATTACAACACTGTTTGGCCGATGGCTCAGGCATATTCATAACTAGCTCTTATATTTTAAATAAACCCATTTTTATTAACTTGTGTATTGCCAGAAGGCTGTGGCATTACCTCATTTTCTACATGTCTTGTATCCTCAGTGGTTGACTGGCGTCTTTCTTCTTTGGCAGCTACATAGAGTCTCTCTGACTCTGTCTTCTTTCTCCCTGCATTTAGTTTAGTTTTTCCGCCTTTCTCTATTCTGCCCTGTCATAGGCCAAAGGAACTTCTTTATTAACAGTAAAACATTTACAGCATACAGAGAAAAATCCCACATTAATTGGGGGCTTGCTTACAGTTTCAGAGCGTTAGTCCAAGATCATCATGGCAGGAAGTAGACAGACGTGGTGCTGCAGCCGTAGCTAAGAGCTTTATATCCTGGTCTGTAACATAGGCGGCAGGAGAGAGAGAGAGAGAGAGAGACAGACAGACAGACAGAAGGCCTAACATGAGCTTTTGAAATCTCAAAGCCCATCCCCAGCGACACACCTCCAACAAGGCCACACTTCTGAACCCTTCCCAAACAGTTCCACTAATTGGGGAATCAAGAATCCAAGACACCCTCCCCCATTCTCTTTCCCCTCTAGACACTGGGAACCACTTACCTGTTTCTGTCCTTCTAAGCACGGTTTTCAAGGCTCACCCCTGACTTGGCATATACCCAGGCTTTCTTTTTGTGACCCAATGACTCTATTTTCTGGATTTTCCCATTTGTTCCATTTGTCAGTTGATAGACATTTAATTTGTTTCTATTGCTGCTGTAGATGTGGGATATACAGTCTGCACGTAGACACGTTTTCATTCTGACAGACACAGAAGAGGGATCGTGGGTTGAAGAAGAGATCTGCCCATGCCTGCAAAGCCTGCAGTGTCATAGTTCTGGTTTTTTTGCTTCTAAAACACAATGACTATCTGCTTTTTCCCTAACACATCTAATGGGTATGAGCAGTTTGACATTGGGGCTTTGATCTGCATGTTCTTTTCTTTTTTAAAGATTTATTTATTTATTATGTATACAATGTTCTGCCTGCGTGTACACCTGCAGGCCAGAAGAGGGCACCAGATCTCATTACAGATGGTTGTGAGTCACCATGTGGTTGACAGGAATTGAACTCAGGACCTTTGGAAGAGCAGTCAGTGCTCTTAACCCCTGAGCCATCTCTCCAGCCCCCATCAGCATTTCTTGATACCAAGAATATAGAGCCTGTTGTCACTGTGCACATTTTAGAAGAAATGCTCATTCCCCGCCCCCCTTGGGTCATTTCTAAAGTTTTCTTACTTCTTATTTATTCATTTATTTGAGGCAAGATTTCATGTAGCCCCGGCTAGTTTCATGTAGCCGAGGATGACTTTGAACGCATCCTTCTGCCCACTGCCCACATCTCTCAAGTACTGGAATCACAGACTTGTACCCTGTTCCAGCTTTTGAGTCTCTCGGGTTGCACATCCAGCAGTGAGCAGGAGCTCTGGAGTTAGGTTTATTAATTTGCTCCTTCATCCATACTGCCCTGCTCGATGCAACTTAGGGGGAAAAATGTGTGGTTGCTGAATAGGTTACAGTGACAAATGATTTGTTGCATCCTTCACCGCAAGACAATTCACCTTGATTCTGACAGTTCCTCAGTTTCTTTATTGCTTCTGCCAGGACAGACTCGAGGCGGGGAGGTGAAGGGGGCTGGGGTGGGGTGTCCATGTGGCTATTCTACAGGCTTCACGTTAGCAACGACTGTTTCACAACTAGCAGGGAAACATCTGTCTTCCATAAACTCTCAGGCTGCAGCCAAGTGACTGGAATTTTCCTTCTTCAGCTAAGCCAGGAGCATCCAGGCCCTGGGCCGGAAGGCTCCTCCCTCCTCCACTGACGGCAGCATTCCCCAGCCTCTGCAACAGATTGTTTGGGCCAGGGGTAGGTGGGGGTTGTGGGAGGAGGCATGGATTTCATTAGGGGAGGCCCAGGCAGTGAGGCTGGGCTTGGGGATGTTCAAGGGGCGTGAGAGTGGAGGATTGTTTGGGTTTGGCTTGGCTGTGGCTCTGAACAGGCACAGTGAGGTGCTGCAACTATTTTTCTGGGCTGGGGAGACTTGCAAGCCTGGGGAAAGTTCCAGAACTCCTATTCTAAGCAGGAGGTGGAGACCTTGGGACAAGTTGTGTCCCTAGTACAAGTCATGACCCCAGGAAGTTTGTCTGTCTCTGTACCTTAACAGCTATCCAGTACTGAAGTAATTTGATCCTCAAGTCTTTAGTGCCGCCCCCTTCAATATCTAGCCAATTCCCTACAGTAAGGCCTTCTAGAGACAAACCCACCAACAGGAAAAGGAAATTTAGAGAAAGGGCGGGCCTACAGAGCCAGGGTAGCTGCAGCCATCCTCTCCTCCAGACGGGGTGATTGTTCGAGTCAGTACCATGAGCCATAATACCCAAGCCTTCATGAGCACCAATGCCGGACTTCCCCCAAGCTATGAGACAATCAAAGAGGAGTATGGGGTGACTGAGCTGGGGGAACCTCACAACTCAGCTGTGGTGAGAACCACCGTGATCAACATGCCCAGAGAGGTCTCTGTGCCTGACCATGTGGTCTGGTCCCTGTTCAATGCACTCTTCTTGAACGTCTGTTGCCTGGGTTTCATTGCCTATGCCTACTCTGTGAAGGTGAGTGTGGTGGAGGGGGCAGAGACTGGGAGGGGGACAGTGTGTGGGAGCCTGAAGCTCCATCTACTTAGATGGCACCAAGGTGTGTGTGTATGGGGGGCTCCCTTGTGTCAGAGAGTAAGTTTGTGTGTACACTTCCTGTTTGTGTGTGTCTGTCTGTCCGCCTGGAGACTTTCCTATAGTTCGATAAGATGAGGCTGCCTGAGGATTCTGGGGCCAAGACTTTCTCCACCCCGTTCCTGGAATGTCCCTTCACCCTGCAGACTGGGATCTAAGCTGTATGGAAAGTGGGGTGTGCGTCAGTGCTGAGGCCTCCCCTATCGTTTGAGTTTGTGTGCGTGAAAAGAGAGGCGGGTCCCCGGCCTGAGGGAGGGAGGGAGGCTGCAGTGGGCTAGGGGGACATGGGGGAATTGAATCAGAGCACCTGGCTCTCAGCTCCAGGGCCTCTTACGTCTGGTTTCCTTCAGTCCAGGGACAGGAAGATGGTGGGTGATATGATTGGAGCTCAGGCCTACGCCTCCACTGCCAAGTGCCTGAATATCAGCTCCCTGATCTTCAGCATCCTAATGGTTATAATCTGCATCATTATTGTCTCCACCACCTCTGTGGCTGTCTTTCAAGCCTTTTCACAGAGAATGCCGCATTCTGGATTCTAGTCCTGCCCCACGCGCCACAGTCCACAGCTGCCCATCCAGTGACCCTTCCTTTACCCTACGCGTACGCAAATGTTACCTTCCTGCATCTGTCCACAATGGATTCAATAAAATGCACATGACGACAACTCTGGCTGTGAGCGTCTGTTCTCTGGTTCTGTGCTAAGCTTGTCCTGCAGCCTTCCTGTCTGTAGAGCACAGAGTGTCCTTGACTTAGCAGGCTTCTGGTCTCTTGATCTGGGCAGCCCCTGACTAGCACCCTGTGTCGGTTTTTGGCTGTTCCAGACAAAAGGGATCTATCCAAGTATCATCCAACCTTGACACCGGGTCCCAGGATGCCCAGGAAGGGTACAGAGCCCTGAGCAAGGGAGGCTTCAGGAGAGAAAGACACTCAGATGCCCTTACCTTAAGGGAAAAGAAGCCTCTAGCCAAGATAAACTGTGTCCTTGTTCCCTGGTGGCCTCTTGGATATGACTTCAAACTCCTTGCCTGTACACTAGTTAGTTGGCGACTGCTGCGGAGTTTAGTACCCTTCGCTCTTTTCTTGTCCTGCACACAGCATTCAGATATATACAGGCGGGGTTTCAAGAATGCCTCTGGCAGTCTCTAAACAGTAGGGAGGACCGAAAGACAGTGAATTCTGCAGGGGTCACAGCGCCTATATTTCCACTTCACCTGGAGTGGATGCTGTCTACCTCGGTGCTCCACTGACATGTTACATGGCATCCCTCGAGTTCCTTCTAAAGGGTACCCCCTTTCTGCTTACCCAAGCCTGGTCCCTGGAAATCAGGCTGGGTTTCCAAGGACTGTTGTCCTATCCAATAGCTCTTTGCTTCCCCGACCACCACGATGATTTGAATGTATCCCAAAATTCCAGGAGTTAATGAGCCCTCACGGAGAGGTGCTACTGGGAGGGCGCTGTGTGGCTTCAGCAAGGGGAAGGCCTGTTTTCTTTCTTTTCTCCCTCCCTTTTTTCTTTTTTTTTTTAAAACAGGAAGTATAGTTTTTAATAGAAGTAAATAAGAGCAGCTAAGAAGGAGCCAGCTGTGGCCTGCAAGCCCGCGGAGTTCCCTTACTGTTTTAGAGATCTCAGCATGATTTTGACACAGAAGAGAGTTTCACAAGTCAGTGGGAAGAAGTTGGAATTTATTCAAAATAGGAAGGTGCCCAGGGTAAAATGTAAAGCTCGCCCAAGAGTGAGTGTGTGGACTTCTCAGGTGACACTGCGAAGTGTTTTAATGGTGATTATATGTGGGATTTTGGAAGGTTTTGAAATTTCAATTGCTTAACAGGATTCTAAGGGTCTCTTTCCCTCTCTAGTCCCCATTTCATAACTGAGGCTATACAGTGACCCTAAGGTACTTTGGATGGGACCACACACTGACATGGTAAAACCAGGAGCCCTTAGGATCGCACAGGGTTTCTGGTGAGATTCCTAGAAAATGGTAGGTTTATAGTTGGGAAAGGAGAAGCAGACAGTGGCGGTGGTGGCACACTCTAATCCCAGCACTCGGGAGGCAGAAGCAGGAGGATCTCTGTGAGTTTGAGGCCAGCCTGGTCTGGAAGAGCTAGTTCCAGGACAGGCTTCAAAACTACAGAGAAACCCTGTCTCAAAAAAAAAAAAAAAAAAAAAGAAAGAAAGAAAGAAAAATTAAAATACAGTTAGAAAGGAGGAAGGTCTTCAGACAATGTTAATTATGTTGGAATTCTTTTTTTTTTTTTTTTTTTTTTTTTTTTTTTTTTTTTTTTTTTTTTGGTTTTTCGAGACAGGGTTTCTCTGTGGCTTTGGAGCCTGTCCTGGAACTAGCTCTTGTAGACCAGGCTGGCCTCGAACTCACAGAGATCTGCCTGCCTCTGCCTCTGCCTCCCGAGTGCTGGGATTAAAGGCGTGCATCACCACCGCCCGGCTAGACAGAGTATCTTAAATTAGCCCCAGTGCTCCAGAAACTCTCACTGTGGTCTGTCTACCCAGAGCAGGAGGTCAGAAGCCTGAACCCCAGGGATAAGCTCTCCTCCCCTCAGACAGGATGGTAAGGGTAGGTCCTGCCCCCTTTAGACATTCATGGTGAGGGTGGACTCTCCTCCCCTCAGACAGGATGGTAAGGGTAGATCCTGCCCCCCTTAGACATTCATGGTGAGGGTGGGCTCTCCTCCCCTCAGACAGGATGGTAAGGGTAGGTCCTGCCCCCTTTAGACATTCATGGTGAGGGTGGACTCTCCTCCCCTCAGACAGGATGGTAAGGGTAGATCCTGCCCCCCTTAGACATTCATGGTGAGGGTGGGCTCTCCTCCCCTCATACAGGATGGTAAGGGTAGGTCCTGCCCCCTTTAGACATTCATGGTGAGGGTGGGCTCTCCTCCCCTCAGACAGGATGGTAAGGGTAGATCCTGCCCCCCTTAGACATTCATGGTGAGGGTGGGCTCTCCTCCCCTCAGACAGGATGGTAAGGGTAGGTCCTGCCCCCTTTAGACATTCATGGTGAGGGTGGACTCTCCTCCCCTCAGACAGGATGGTAAGGGTAGATCCTGCCCCCCTTAGACATTCATGGTGAGGGTGGGCTCTCCTCCCCTCAGACAGGATGGTAAGGGTAGGTCCTGCCCCCTTTAGACATTCATGGTGAGGGTGGGCTCTCCTCCCCTCAGACAGGATGGTAAGGGTAGGTCCTGCCCCCTTTAGACATTCATGGTGAGGGTGGGCTCTCCTCCCCTCAGACAGGATGGTAAGGGTAGGTCCTGCGCCCCCTTAGACGTTCATGGTGAGGGTGGGCTCTGCAGAACTGGCTGGGGATAGTAGCAGAGGAATCCCAGCACACTCCCGGCCAGGTGCACTTTATAAAGCCCCACTGGATGGATGTGTGAGCGTAACATCTGTGATGAAGCCTGGATCTAGGCTTGTATGCAGCATCTGTGGAGCGTATGAGACTGGGGAGTGAAGAGCTCTCAAAGACAGAGAAAGACCCAGTAAACATGCTCAGAGTTGGGAGAGTGTTTCTGGGAAGTTTCACCACTGGGATTTTGGATAGTTCCTTTTTTTTTTTTTTTTTTGTTTTTTGTTTTTTGGTTTTTTGGAGACACAGTTTCTTTGTTTAGCCCTGGCTGTCCTGGAACTCGTTCTGTAGAACAGGCTGGCCTCAAACTCATAGAGATCCATCTGCCTCTGCTTCCCAAGTGCTGAGATTAAAGGTGTGCACCACCACTGCCTGCTTTGGGTAAAATTAATTATGATATATATATATATATATATTTTTTTTCTTAAGATAGTGGCTCTGGCTGGCCTAGGACTATGTAGACCAGGCTGACCAGGAACTCACAGAGATCTGCCTGAGTCCTGAGATTAACATTCCTGGCCTATGACTAAACTTTTAAGGGGGAAATAGACTGATTATTCACATGTGAAGGTGGGGGTGGAAGCGGGGAGACTCCTGGGATGTCAGGAGTTTTTCTCTAGTAGAATCTTCTCTCTCTTTGGTCCTTATGCTAATGAGAGCAGATTTTACAATTCTGATGCTATGAAGATGTTATTATAATGAAGGAAAGGGTAGGTAGTGATCATCTGGTCAGTTTGTTTTTTCTGAGTAGTCACGTGTCCTGTTGTTTTTGGCAGCTCAGCCACCGCAGTTGTCCTCTTGCTTTCCCTGTACCTTACTAGCTGACCTCACGGGGACGACATAGCAGGACTAGAAGGCAGGATCTGTCTTCTGAAGAGATGTCTCTGAGCTTGGTTCCTAGCACCCACACGGGGCAGCTCACCGCTCCCTGTAACTCCAGCTCTAGAAGTCTGGTACTTCGTGGGCACCTGCACTCATATCCACATACCCACCCCACATCCATAATTCAAAATCATAACAATGAATATTTAAAAAGAAGTCTCTGAGATTAACAGAACTTGCAGAAACAAGATAGAAACAGTACTGCCAAAGACAGTGGCTCTTAAGGCAGGGAAGACCAGGGCACTGATATACAGGTACTTGGTGGTGGAGGAATAGGCCTGGGATTAGTAATATCACTCATCATCTTCCCGACCCCCGGACTGGAGGAGACCAAATGACAAGAGACCTTGGAGAAAGTCATCTGAGAGTCAGATGCTCTGACTAAGTCCCTGCCAGTCATCTTCCCTGCCCACTGAGGTCTCCCTGCTTCAGGTCAGGGACAACTCCTTCACACACTCAGACTCTTCTGCAGGCCCCAACACTGCTTGCTTGGTGGGTGTCTAGTGATCCTAGTGGCACAGGCATGAGTAAGCCAGGCTCTTGGCCTGCACACCCGAGGAAGGCTGGGCAGGGGAGGTGTGGAGCAGGGTCTAGCTCTTGCTAAGGGTTTGACCTGGGACGACCCTAAGGTCCCCTTTACTATTCCACTCAGATTTTAGGATTGGGAAGGGCAGCTCTAACAGGCCCAGGAGCTGGAGGGGATGCCTATCACAGGGAGTGGGGAGGGGCTTCTTACAGTTTGTGGTGGGACGGGCAGTCAGTCTCCCTCCTTATTCCTTTCTGCCTGCTATTTTCTTAGCATTCACCTCCAACAAGTACGTGTTTGCTCTCCCGTTTGTGCTTGTCGGCAGAAGGCGACCTGATCAAAGACTGGGTTCTGAGTTCTGGAGATGGAGGGCTATGGTATATGCAGCTCTGGTCCTGAGGGGGAGTTCTGGCTGCCCCCTCAAACTGAGGCAGCTTCAGGGTCCACCATGGAACTGTTTGCAGCCAGCGGCCTGGAACAGCCTTCTGTGAATAGTCAAGACTGCATGCAGGGGGCACTCTTGTGGGTGGTCCGCAGCAGCCGCTGCCCATGTGACGCGGTGGCTTTTGATGGGGTCTTTTGAGAGGGGTGGGGGATGCTGGGGTGCAAGGGCGGGCCACACTACTTGGCAGGCCGAGGTTGTAATTTGTGTTATATATAGCGGGTGGGGCTGGCCAGCCAGGGAGGGTAGTGTCACGCTATAAGCAAGCCTGGTGGTACTCAGAGAGCACAAGCCTCAGCTAGGAAGACACGGCGCTGGAACCCATGGACACTTCCTATCCCCGTGAGGACCCCCGGGCTCTATCCCGCAAGGCTGATGATGCTGCCCACACGGCCCTCTCCGTGGGAACACCGGGCCCTACGCCACGAGACCATCTCCTGTGGTCAGTCTTCAGTACGGTCTACCTGAACCTGTGCTGCCTTGGTTTCCTGGCGCTGGTCCACTCGGTCAAGGTTAGCTTCAAGGCTTGCAGGGGAAGGGCTGGGGAGGGAGAATGTGTGAGCGTGGGGTGGGGGTAGGAATTCAAAAGAAAAGTATACGAAGGGGTGTGTTAGTATAGCTACTGTCCCTCACCAAGTTTGGGGACCACAAGAGCTTATCCATCAATGGGCGAATGCACTGTTCACAGGTATGGCTATAAAGTCCCCCGAAAAGGGTAAAGTCCTTAAAGGTTGCCCATAGAGGGATTCCCACTGTAGCTCCTGAATGGGATGGAGTTCTTGGTTTCCTAGGACTCTTCTCCACAGGAGGCTCCCAAGGACGCTCCTGACCCACAATGGCCACTGATTCTCTATCTGTAGCCTTTAGGCTGGGGCCATCATGACTCAGGACCCTACCAGAAGCCAAACTGTGCCAAGCTGGGAGACTATAGGCCCAGCCCAGGGGATATCTCCTCAAGCCATGCCCCTCTGGAGTCCAGCCTGTGCCCTACAGTTGCCCGGGTGGTCTCTGGTCCCCTATGAGGGGGAACCAGAACGTGTAACATTTTGGCTCTGCAGGCCCGAGACCAGAAGATAGCTGGGGACCTGGAGGCTGCGAGGCACTATGGCTCCAAAGCCAAATGCTACAACATCCTGGCGGCAATGTGGACACTGGTACCCCCATTGCTGCTCCTTGGGCTGGTGGTGACCGGAGCCTTGCACCTGTCCCGGCTGGCCAAAGACTCTGCGGCTTTCTTCACCACCAAGTTTGATGACGAGGACTATAACTGAGAGTTCAAGGTCACCGAACCCAGGTGCCCAACACCAGCTCCTGGGAGTTAGAGCCTACCACAGTACCCTGGTCCCTGCCCAACCATGACCCTCTTGTCCACCATGTGTATTCGACATTGACCCACACAGACCCTTAGACTTTACCTCTAACCCAGAGGGTCCTCAGTACCTGTCTTTGCTCCCTTTTCCCCACTTACCAGGCTGAATCTCCATTCATGATTAAAGGTGGTAGATTCCAGAAACGTGTGTGGGTTCCTCCTTCTTGGTGGTAGTTATGTAGGGAGACCCAGCACCAGATCCTCTGGCCAACTCCCAGTCATCTGATTCTGTCCGCTTGGCGGCCCCTGACTACTGTTTTTGCTTGGCTACGGGCAGCCTGTGGGTTCTGGGGTGGAGGAGCCTAAGTATTTTAGGATGAAGTTCGGGAACTCGGGCCTTTGATTCCTACTACCCTGTGGTTTGATGGGCTGTGTCCCAGAACATGTGAGGGTGTGCCCCGAGTCCTCACATGCCACAGCGGTCTTCTTCCGTCCTGGGTCAGTAAAGGCTGAGGGGAAGGTAAGTAGGGTCCATTTTCCTATGTGGGACTGAACACTGGACTCTAGCCTTCTCTTTCGCTCGCCCATGTCCAGAGGCAGACAGGCAGTGGGCATGGATAACTCTGAGCCTCCAGTGATGCCAAGTGCATGTTCTCCCGTTATTTTCCCTTTGTGTCGCGTGCCCATGGCTCCCACACTAGATTCACAACAGACACACAGACACACCCCTGATGACGCTGCTGTGAGCCCCTCCACCCGACCTGCTTCTTACTGTGGCCGGCCTATTATAGAGCAAGCTAACTGCATAGCCCTTAACCAAAAGTAGGCTTGGGGGTTGAACACTCCACCCGGCCCCCTTCCTCCCCAGGAGCCCCTTCTCCCTGCCAGCTCTTTCTAGACTGGAGGTTTCTGCTGAGCTATCCTACTCAGAGACCAGAGGCAGCTCCCCACAGTCACACGGCTATAGCCAAAAGCTGGCCCTGAGGAGCTCTAGGCTCTGCCAAGCCAACTCCTGGAGACAGGGCCATATGATGACCTGTGTTTGGGAATGGAGATGAAGTTAGTGCTGGGCACTAAAGGACACTGTAGCTGTGCTTGGACAAAGATAGAGACAATGTGCTGACCATGAGCCCCTGGTCGAGTTGAGGAAAAGGCCAACTCCTGCTGGCTACAGGGACTTATCTGTTCCTGGGTAGATGTCCCCAAACACGGGATATTTTGCCAGCCTCCATTTATAATCTGGGAAAGGACTGCCTAGTTTGTGCCCCAGTGCTGAGGACAGAGTGTGTGGTCAAGCCAGTGAGGCATCAGCAACAGCTTCTGCTGCCCCAGGCTACTTAGACCCCATCTGCTGTGCCAGCCCACATATTCTGCCACCCTCAAGGCCCCAGAAGCTTACCATAACACATGCACAGAAGTGACTCATGCACACCCAGGTACTGGGCTACATCTGTTCTTTGGGGGCAGTGTCACTGACCAACCTGCTGCTGCCCATGCTCAGTCCTGGCTTTGAGGCAACGGATGAACACCCACTTCTGCCAGATAACGCCCTGGCCCACCGTAAAGAAGGCGGAGGAAGACACAAGGGCCCCACCTTGCCACTGAACTTTGAAACCACACCCCCAGATGCAAAGGGACAGGAATCCATCACAACCTGACTTCAGGAGCTCTTGCCCCCGCTGACTTTAATTAGCCAAGCTGGTTTGGTAGAGGGGCACAGGTTTTACCAGAATTCTGGCCCTGTTCTATGCACCTTGTTCTGGGAGGAACTCTGATAAAGTATGCCAGGAACTGAGGGCCAGGAGTGAAACCTGGGCAGCTTCTCGGCTCATTTAACTCCAGTTTCTCTGGTTGCCAGCCAGGAACTTCGTGGTCTTGATCTGATGTTCATCTACTGCATCCTCTGGTGACAGCACTGACTTCCTTCTCCCATGGTTAACGGCTTTCACCCTAGCCCACTATGCTAGACACCAACTGACGTCAAGAGGAGTCAGAGAAGAGGAAGCTCAAAGCCACAAACCCTTGAGAACTTGGCCAGTCAGGTGTAGTCCCAACTACAAACCACAGGAAGCTCTTATTTGGGTAGCTAAGCCCCTGCTTCTAGGACCCACCTGCTGGCCACCTCCTCAGCAGGGCTGCTGGCCATTTCCCATCCAGCTCTTTGACCAGAGCCATTCAGAGACCAGAGGTGAGCAAGGAAGTTAAGGACTAGGGAGACACCAAAATGGGGAGCTGAAGGGTTGGGTGCTGGGGTCGGCCCCAAAGCAAGGAATGTATGAAGCTCTAGGTAGACAGCCCAGTACAGGAGAGGGTAAGGAGAGGAAGGAGGAAGGGGAGGATACAGAGGGAACGCCCAATAGCCTTAATGGCTTAGGCCTGGATCCAGACTGAGAGACTGTGTGGGTGGGCAATGCAGCTGAGGGTCCAGAAGTGTCCGTGAGGTACTGAAACGGGTTCCTTTCAGGAAACACTGAAGAGTTGGAATTTCTGGACAGCTAGGGGGATGACTTTTGTATCCGGCCAGCTGAGTGGGGAAAGCAGACCTTATGTCCTGCAAAAGAGATGGTTAATCCTTTAGGGCATGCACCAAGACTTCTGCACCACAGTCCCAAAGGCTTTTCCTTACCTGGTGGCAGGGGGAGCCGGGTCAGCGATGGCCACAGCTCAGCCTCTAGCAAGGGCGCCCAGGGTTCTGCACGGACTGTGACCTCAAGTGTCATCGTGTCCTTGGAAAAGGTGAAGTTGAACTTGTTCCCCAGGTAGGAGATGCCAGAGACAGACACTCTGGAGATCAGGTCTGGACACAGGGGGTCAAAGGTCACACCTGCCTCAGTGATCCTGTAAGGGAGAGCTGTGTGGTGAAGAGGGTTGGGACAAGTGGGAATTGCACCGCTGGTCTCTGCGCTCACCTGAATCCTGTGCACCCGAAGAGTGCTGCCTGCAGAAAGCCCCCCATGCCCGTCAAGAAGTTCACTGTGCCAGACCCATCCGCATTCTCTGTCCACACCTGCAGGCAGCAAGAGTGGCTGTGACTTGGGTCCAGCCTCAGCAGGACCCTTACCCCGCTGAGATTCCCACAGAGGGAGAAGAGGGAGGCAGCGGGTGGTGGGCGGAAGACAGGCTGACCTTAAAGGGCTCAGTGGCATTGATGAAACTCTTGCTCAGGAGGACCTGGGCCCTTGAGGGGTCCCTCAGCTCCATCCAGCCCACGGCAAACATACTCTGAGGTCAGGATCCAGATATGAAGCAGTTAGACTCACCACGTGGGAAGGAAGGGGAGGACAATAGGGTAAGACTACCCACCAGGCTCCTTACCCAGGTCATTGCAGGGCCCTGGGGGGATGTCACAGCCTCATAAATCTCCAGATTTTTCCTTCGGATGTCGGGTCTCAGGGGAAAAGGAACTGGGTATCCCAGGAGCACGACATCTGCCTGTTTCACTTCTTCTCCTGATTTGGGGGGAGGGGACAGCAGGATAGGGATGCATTCTTGGTCAAAGGGATGAGGGTGTTACAGGATGAGTATGGGGTGGGGGGGGTGAGGTGTGTGTGTGACCAATTAGAAGGGCCCTTGGAGGACTCAGTACCACTCACCTCGCTCATAGCCGTCAAACTCAGGGTGGAAGTTCTGCTCAGAGTCAAACGGCACCTTGATCCTATCGGCCACCTCCAGCCACTGGTTGGGAACAGACAGACCCAGGTCCTTGGCCAATGCAGCAGCGAAGCGCAGGCTGGGGAGGGTACAAGCCACAGTTGCACAGCTTCTGACTGGGCCCTGTCTGCTGTGCTGGGCTAGGGAAGGGGATGTCTTCTGTCTGACCTGTTCTGGACCAGGACGTTGGTGTACACAGAGTTGTTGACTCCTGAGTGGTATTCATCTGGCGGCATGACTCCTGGTCACACGGGGCCACCATGACAGTTAGTGTAGGGGCTCAGGACACGCCCTTCCATGGTGGCAGTCCACGCCGAGCTGGCCCCTGTGCCTCCTAGTGCTCACCTTTCAGGTGGTACATCTTCTCCTGGGGGCTCCATTCTACGCGGCTGCACCAAAACTCAGCTACCGCGCTGACCACATCCCAGCCACCAGCCTCTTGGAAGAGCTGCAGGTCCTGCAGAGGGAGAGCAGGGTGAAGGACCGGGTGTACAAGAGGGCCACTGTGCACGGCCGGTGCCTACCTTCTGAACACCCAGAAAGCAGTGCCTAGCTTCCAAAGTCCCTCTTCACTCAACTTCCCAGGGTCACGGCGTGGAGTGTGGCCTCAAGAGGTGCGTAGGTGCACGTGGGACACAGTGGTGCCTCACCTGAGTGCAGTGGTAGTACAGCTGGAAGGCCAACACCACGGCTCCATTCACGTGGACCTCCTGGATCCCATAAATGTCCTCAGGGCAGACCTCCAGCCCAGTGCCTGCACTTTCCCAAGCGAACTTGGCTCCCTAGGAGGAAAGAGGATGCAGCGGTCAGGTCTTGGCCTGGAGGGCCAGTCCAGTCCTACCAGAGGTGCAATCCTTTGTGGAGGAAAGGAAAGAGGAGGTTTGGGGGTCTGGTGGTCACTGAATGACACTGGGAAGACCCTGGGGCAGGGACCCTATGGGATAGCACCCAGGCCCTGTTACCTGGTAGCCTAGGTTCTGGGCATTCTTCAGGGCCCCTCCCAGTGTACGGACTCTGTACTCCAGGATAGCCCTAGCAGCCTCTGGGTTGAACATCAGAATATTTGGGAACATCCAGAGGTCCTGAGAGGAGGAACCATTCTGGGGTTAAGCAGAAGTCCATACCGTTCCCCTCCCTTACTGCCCACATTCCATCCCGCCAAGGCTTCCAGCCTGCACACAGCAAAAAAGACATCTGGGGACTCCTTTCCCCCACCTACCCTTTGGCAATCCCTCTGCCTCTCTCTCTGAGTTTCCTCTCATGCTCACCCAGACCCACCTGGGGCCTCCCTCGCTTGCCCACTCCAATGTTATTTCTCCAGCTTAGACAGCCCAGAGTTCTGGTTCTCAGCCCGGGCAGTATCAGGAGATGCTAAGGGCTCTAGTTTGTATCAGGGCTCAGGCCTCTAGGGTGAG